TGTCATCCCTCCTCCACGCTCCATTTTCTTTTCATGCCTCCTTAGACTGCTGCGTCAGCTAGAAAACGCTAGTGTAAAATGAAATATTTACAGGTGAAAATACGCAACAAAAGCACGAAAATACAACTGTGACACGCGTTGCTGATGGACAAAGACTGAAGAAGGCCACTGGAATTGTACAGGCATCGTGCCGATCAGCTCAGTCCTGTTATACCGACATGGAATGTCCAGGCGGTATTCTGATTTTCTTGCAATTTGTGTATTTCAATTGCCGTGAGTACTAGAGAGCGCGAAAATGTACAAAGCGAATACCACTTCAAGTTAATAACCGTTATGAAAGCAACGTGGACATGTTCGCGACACTCGCATGAGAACTGGGAGCTAACTAAGCAGTGCTGAAAACTGTTTGTATCAAACAGAATGTTTCCTAATGGAGTTCAGTGTTTACAGTAGTACGGGAAATTTGTCGGTACTTCAAAGCAGTTTTTTTTTCAGTAATAATCCTTCTTATGACACAAATTTTATTGTTTCATGCTGTGTTACATGCATATCAGTCGCCGGTAACTACAAAGAAGACAAACTTTATGACAGCAACCGAAAAGCAATCAGATATTTTGTTTTCAAGATGAAGGTGGTTGTTATTCAGATTTTTGAAATGTCATTCCTCTGTTTTTTTTTTTTTTTTTCCAGGGCGTTGTCTTGGCCTAGCGGTCGGCAAATGCAACTGTGGTGCTTGCCTAACATTTGTTCATTGTGTTTCTGATCAGCAATGCGGAGGTCTAGCAGGAGCATGCACCGAAAAAGGATACTGCGATTGTGCCAGAGGTAAGACATTTGAGTTTACAGTGACACACTGTCCCAACCTAATAAAATATGGCAGCGAAAATTTGACGAATTTACTGGGAGACATCGCGTACTGGCTAGCATCACATGTGAAAAATGAGTGATCATTTGGAGGTCATCGAAGAAGCAGTGAACATGCGGTATTTTAATATCTAAAGTTTGCAGCTCAGTATCAGTCTCCGCTGTTTGTGCCCAGAAGGGGCGCAAAAAAGACAGCGAAGTCAGAAAACTGGTGTTTTGGACAATCCAGATCTAGAAACTAGATTCTAAAATTTCATCCTTCTAAAGAGGCAGAAATTGGACGATCACTTACATAGTAAATTCTTCAGAGGCTTCACATAGTGCTAAAATGTAAATTAATGATTTGAAAAGAAATGCATTCTGAAGCCATCTCTTTGCAGGTTTCAAACAAGCTGGATATGACAACGCTTTCGACGCCTTTGTAAAACTTTGTAACGTCAAAGAATGCATTCCAGACACACCCTCCTGTCACGGTCTTCCTTGTAATGCCGGACTTTGTGCGTGTCCCATATGAGATAACGCAGTGACATTTCAGTTATTTTCAGTTTCCTGTTTGTATAATTTTCTTCCTGAAATTCAGTTTCCTCTTCCTGAAATTCGTCCTTCGCTGTTCTGTAGGTTCTGTGATACAATGCAGTGGATGAAATGCAAAAGCGATTCCGTAACTCTCCCACAGCAAAACAAGGCGTAAAAAATAGCCAAGTTTTCGACCTGAAATATCTGGCAGGGCAAAAAAGTTGTTCTGTATCCAGATCATTGGTATTCAAGAAATTCGCTTTTTGCAGCATCTGCTTCTATTCGCTCAAAGAATCATTTTATACATACTGCGGCCTCTGTTGCACATATAAGTTATGTGTGTTTCACAAGTTTGATTTTTATTAATAATAAAATGTTTTAAGCCATCAGGAGCAGACAAATAACGAATATACCTGTACAAGAAAGGTGTTAATTAATCTTAAGAAACAATAGTTGATATTACAACTGCAACTGGAAGGGATCGTTTTGATCCACTGGATCGTACACATTCCATTTCAGTACCACAGTTGGACTCGGCAATAAGCCGACTGAGGTAATGTTGTGAGTAAAGAAATAATAAAGTGATTAAGATTAAGAAAAAATACAAAACCAATAAATCATAGCAATAATCCATAAACATTGGTTTGGAGATACCAAATAGACCATTTCAAACAACCCCAGCGGAGATAGCCTTTGACTCTTTTTATGCATTTCTACTTAAATCGAAGGGATCTTTGGTGAGGCCATGAATCTATTTTTTTGTGCGTGCGTGTGCCTGTCTGTTTGCTTGCATCAGTGTACACATGCACGTGTCTGTTGTGTACACGTGTGTTGCATGTGCATTTGTGGGCGCGTTTGTAAATGTTTTTGTCTGTCCGACTGGATAATTCAACTTCTGAGCGGTGAAAGATAGGAATTTGTAATTTCACATAGTCTCGATTGATGTGATGGCCATGAAGTCTGAAAACAGCTTTCGGACATTCCACTGTCCTGTTAGCAAGTACAAAATCTGAAAACTTTTATAAAGGACGTGGGGAGAAAACTATGAAATCAATATTTCGGAATCGTAATTATCACTAAAAACCAAAAAAACAGTTTGAAATCAATCTATTTTCAAAATTTAAACCATCGCAGTGTACAAGCTTAATTCCAAACTCGGACTGATTTTGCGGATTCAGTGCAGCGCCAGCTGAAAATTTAACATAACTGATTCTGATTTAACAATATAATAACAAGTAAATGATCTAAAATTTTATCGAGACCTGTCTTCACTCAGGCTCGGTCAAATGCTGCCGTTACTGATTCCTGAACCATGCCACGAACACAAATTTCATGCGCTTCAATGAATCAAATGAGTCGTAAAATCGAGAAATATAATCGTCACCCCCTACACGTATTGGCGTATTTATACACTGTGCGATCGAAAAAACTTGCAGCAAAAAACGCATAATCGGGCTGGCCTGATCGTGCATGTCATTTAGTGTGTGTTGCTTTTTCTGGTCGCTTCCGAATCCTTATCCAGGTAATTGTTACAGCTGAGCCTCCTGTCCGCTTCCAGCTTTCTCTTCTTATTCATCCATAAGGTGGTGGCAAAACTTGATGCCCTAAATTATATGGTAGTACTTCAAGCAGTTGTTGGTCTATGACCTCAATTCATTCAAAAAATATTGCCCTTACAGAGAGTTTTTGATGTCGATGACTTCCTGACACCTAATTCTAGGTCCACAGAACGTCGGATTTGTCATTAACATTTCCTGTCGGAACAAACCAGTAAAGAAAGAATTGTTTTTTCGGTCAATTCAGATCCAAAACTGCACACTACTTTATCAAAAAAGTTAAATTATTTACTTATCCTGAAGTGAGTTTTTCTAAATAATTTCACTTAGGAGCATGATTGTTCGGCCAAGTGCGATCGTGAATACTTCCTCCATTTCCAATCGCTAAAGGTGCGAGATAGCTCAGCGAAATCAGCAGTGCAAAGAGGACTTTCACTCAAGCTTTTTCGCCGCAGTAATACTCTCATTTACTTAACAACAAGTGACCAGACATGTACACAAAATTTATTCATCCGCCAGACGGAAAAGAGAGCAGCTGCCCCTCTTCCTTGATGTTAATTATCAAAGTATTAAATTACGGACGAAATTACAGCAAGGTTCGTCAGTCAGTTTCGCTGCTGGTGATTTTCTTTAACCTCAGCACTGCAGTGCTGGAAAAGTATCTTTCCCCTGCGCATGTAATAAGAGGCTTAAGCGGTCCTTGAGAAAACGATGATATTTGTTTTCGACCCAATCCTGGGCGGTGAGTCTTCGTGGCCAGTGCATGTGCTCCTTTCATGCACCGGTCAGGCTCGACATGTGAAATGCAGCACTGCTTGCTATTGATTCGCACTTGTCTGCCGTTTTTCCCGACTGCGCTTTTCACATATCATTATTGTGGCGAAACCTCCAGAAATGATGACGCGCCGTGTTTTAGCTGTTTGTCGTTGGTCAAGCGCGCCATGCTGCATAAACAAATGCCTTTTTCATACATATTCACTTTTCAAAGTCATATCGACCATGACTGCTTATTACTTATTGGTATATTGTTAAAATAGGCAGTATGCTCTAGTAAAAATGGCCAGTGGTCATTGGTCAACAGCGACACTGTAAACTCTACTCTTTACAGATGGTCAGAGCTTGTGATGATATTCTTGCTGCGTTCAGGCTAGGCACTCCGTGGTCAAGCGATGTCTTACATTTCCCGTCCACCCCATTAAATCTTCACCTAAGTGGCATTTTTGTTCGTCCACGAGACCACACTTCGGAGAAGATTTGTTTAAACTGTCGACGTAGAGCAGACGGTAAAAGAATTCAGAGAGACTGAATCTACCGAGGATAATCCAGGGAGACTGAATCTGCGAACTTATTACCACAAGAATAACGTATGCATCGGCAACAGCCATGTAACAGTTGTCTTAAATTAAATTTTTGTTTTTCAGAGTTGCCGGAATGTGTTACGTATTTTGCAAGAGTACAAAGCTCCATGGGTACAGTCGAAGCAAGAAAACTCCGAGGAAGTGGCAAATTTGGATGCTCGACTGATCATCGGTAGGCGGCGGCACCGTACAAACAAAAACTTGTTGCAAGCCGCTGCTCCTACAATTAAGCTTCTTCTAAAATTGTCGAAACAAACGCTCTGTAGCAAGCGACCTGTTTACTCACTGCTCATCTGGCACGCTTCCTTGCTTCTTTTCTTTTTTGAAACACAAAGCGTAGTTCATATTTCAAATGCATTTATTAGCAATAATACTTGATATGAGTAACAGCAGCAGCAAAAGTAGTAAAGTGGCATGCAGCAACGAGTAATGAGGGAATTACTAAAAATCCTCTTAGCTCGACCGAGTTGGGGGCGAGTTGCGATGATTATGGTGTATCCCCTCGGATGACAGGACAAAAATAGAAATGGTTGGGAGAGACAAGGATCGAGATGCTGTTTAGGCCGCAGAAGGTTTGACTGAAGAGACTAACAAAGGAGAAGGAGATATTGACTAAAAAAAGCTCTAATGTTAGGAATTGAAGGCACTGCTATAGATTATGGATTGATGCTAAGCAAGAAATTAGATACTGAGTGAAAGCTGGCAAACTTTTGCTTACCAGTTTTCAGTTAGCATCTAATTTCTTGTTGTATCTTATGGTTCAACTGGGCTTTTCGACATTTTGTTGTAATTTTATCGCAAATGTACGAGTCTTTAATAATTTCTAACTTGTTTCTACAAGTCCCTCCGAACCAAAAATTAGGCTAAAATTACAGTCAAGAACGTAGGAAGTTACTGCGCATAAAATATATTCCTTGCGTTATCTGTCATGAACAGTGTAGTTAGAACACTAGAACCCAATGATTGTGGTTTGCTAGCACATCGCATCTTCAAAATTTATAAAATTGCATATATCCTTGAAGCGTCAAAATGCAACACTGCCTTCATGTTGGTTTTTGACTAATTTCTTAAAATTTCAGTGTGCAGCTCTTTCGGACACTAAACTACGAAACTAAGCGAATTTTGATCCGTTGTCATATATCAAAAAAAAAAAA